ATCTGATTCAGTGCTTTAAATCTTTCATGTTATGAGGGAAGTCCAGTTCTCGAGTTTGGAAGGTCAAAATGGCAAGCAAAGACCAGGCTCTACTGCTGCCAGAATTCAGCATTGGCACCTTTTGTTGCTCAAGATTCCACAAGGCCTTATTCTTGTTCCATTTTGGCCAATGAACCTGAAAATGCATAAAAACATAGAATTGGAGTTAATCTACATAAAATAATTAATAACTGGACTTTGTTAATGTAATTTAGGGCGCTTGAATATACATTATTCGGCGCTTATCAGAGAGCAACTAAATTAAATTAAGTAAGAATGCAATGTTAAAGAGAGTAAGTAAGGAAGAGAGAGATCTTGAGGTTTAGAGATCACCACCAAACAATGCATTTCTATATCATTGACAAATGATTAATGAAGGCAAATAGTGGGTTGCAATAGTGGTGTGTGTATTTGGTTGATTCAATAAGCAAGGATGACTAGTTAAGCATGTATTGTCTAAACATCATGTGAAAAGCACAATATATCTAAGCTATGAAGCATATATTGTCTAAACAACATGTGAAAGGCACAATAAATCAAAACAAGTTATTAATCCTTTCATTAAGCTCACAATCCAAATACAACACATGGATAGAGACATATGCTAATTGCATTCAAAAGCTTGGATCATCAAACAACAAGCATAGATTGTCCTCCCATTTAATACTACACTACAACTATACTACATCTACACTACTAGCATGAAAATAAACTAGGGGAGAGGCACAATCCATCAAGAGGTAAGCATGAACCATCAAGAGAATCACAAAAGCATTCTTTTAAGCACAATGTTTTGACAATCTCTAAATTTATAGCATCAATATACATAGACATGCATCAATAACACAAAATCTAGAGATAAACACATGAACATCTATTTTAGCATACATAGACATATAGATAGAATGAAATGACCAATTGGAAGCATTAAACCACATAAATCATTGAATAAACAAGATCTATATATATCAAAGTGTCAAAACATCAATTACAACACTAATCTCTCAATAATACACAAGATTAAGATATAGAAAGTATGCTTGGGGCTAACTCTAGCCCCAAAAGGATGTCTAGCCCCTCATGGTGATGATGCTCCAACCCTTAAGGGCTAACTCCATGGAAGAGGTTTACTCCTTATTGATGAAGATCTCCAATGGTGTCTCTAGCCTCCTCCTCCTCTAAACTTCCTCTCCAAGAGATGATATGAAAAGTAATGTTCTTTCCTTTCAAAAAACAATCCTTATCCTTATATAAGTAGGTCAAAATGACACTCAAAATAAGCTGGGGTCGTGCACACAATATTACCTAATGATTGGATAAAGGACAACTTTCAATGAGATGGAATTTTAACTTTTTCACAGTGGAGGAAGTGAGATCGATCGAAAGTAAGTGAGATCGATCGAACTTAGGTTGGATCGATCCAACTGGCTGAGCTTTTTGGAAAAAGACAAATCCAAGATATTTATGGGAGATGTTTATGGGAAAAGGACAAAAGTGGTTGGTGGGTGGTACAGCTGTGGATAGGATCAATCATTTGGATAAGGACAAAGGTGTTCGATCGATCGAAGAATGATGTTGGATCGATCGAACTTTTGGACTTAAGTGCTTTGGGTCAAGGCTTGGATCTATCTTGAAATGCTGAGATCGATCAATGTTCGATCGATCGAACCTTGAACTTGGATCGATCGAATTTTGCTACTTTCCACCTTTGACTTCATTTGCTTCTTTCTTTCTCCACTTTGCTCCTTTCTTTGTTTAATCTCAGAATTGCTTCAATTAAGCTCCTATTTGGCAGAGTTAGCTTATTTTCGGGATAAGCGCCTGAAAACGGAAATAATACAAAATCAATCTAAAACGGTAAAGTAAGATAGATAAAGGAACTAGAATGCCTAAGCTTAAGGGGTTTAAATACGCACTTTTTAGTGCTCATCAGGCGTACCTCTTTAGGGTGACCAACGGCTCTATATAAGGATTAATGGTGGTAGTGTTCTATCATAAATCGATTCCCTTTCCTTACCCTTCATGAATTAGAAGAGTCATTAAAGGGTGATGGTAATTATCTCTACCTACTTAAGTTTATTCACAACCTTTGGATTTCCGTGTCGCTTAAACTTCCTAACTAGTCGAATATTCGGTATTACCTATAATGCTAACCGTAATCCATGTTGGATTTGTTATGATCCGATAAGATCCATTGATAGAATGGATGTTATAAATAATATATATTGCTTGGTCTCTATTCTCACACACGTTGATTTTTTATTAGTCTTACCCCATTAAATTGATATGTGAGTTCAGTACAAAGTGGAAGATCAAACAAAATGTTGGATCTTGGTGGTTGTTCATCATTTTGGCTCCTTTTCAGATCTGAAATGGCTTCGGCAGGTATAAATGGCATATATGTACATTATTAATTATTATCCGTATGTTTAAGGGACTTGGAATCTTTAAGTTAAATCTTCTCTAAGTTATCCTAAATTGAATTTGTTGCATATTGACGCGTGACATTTAGAATCTATCTACTGTTTGTGTTAAACTACGTCAACCAATTTAAAGAAAGTTTGAAAACTGCACCATTTTGAGATAAGAAAAATTTACCATACTTTAACAACGTTAACGTCATTCTCTCTCCCTCATTTTTCCCAAAAAAATATCTCCCCCTCTTTTTCCTCTTTCTCATTCTCACATTGGGGGGAATATTTTGCGCCAAAAATGAATGATCTTTCTCCCTATTTTTGGCACCTAGAAGCTTTGGTTCACTCTTTTTTATACTAGATCCCTGATGTTTAAATTTAATTTCGAAAGACATGAAATTATTATTGCCTACAATTGTTATTCCTTCTCTTGTTGAATATAGCTCATTACCTTTCAAGGAGTTTAATCACTTGAGGAAAAAAAAAAAAAAAAAAAATTATAGCTCGGTGGACTAAATTATGCAGTGTATATATAGTTGCTTTAGTTAAATTTTGATTCTTGAGTCAAGATTTCCTTCATTTTTAGCGTGAAATATTCTCCCAATCGTGGGAATGAGCAAGAGGAGAAAGAGGGAGCAATCTTTTTATGAGGGAGAAAGAATGATGTTAACGTCGTTATAGTATGGTGAATTTTCTTTATCTCAAGACAGTGCAGTTTTTAAACTTCGGTAAATTTTTCTTATATCAAAACGGTGCAGTTTTCAAACTTTCTTTAAACTAGTTGACGTGGTTTAATACAAATAGTAAATAGATTTTAAATGTCATGTGTCAATCTTCAGTAAATTCAATTTAGGATAATTTAGAGGATCCAAGTCCCTATTTAAGTATGTGTATGAGTTACAAAATTTGTTTACATATAATGAGTAGGTAAGTATTATCTTCTTCTTCTTCTTCTTCTTCTTCTTCATATATTTTTTATTTTATTTTTTTCAAATCAACAAAAGTTTATTACACCAATCCTCTGCTGTCATTCTATTCATGTTCTAGGTAACCACTCTTTACTTTTTAATGAATTTTGAAGTCCCTATTCTCTTATCATAAGAATGCTTAATACAGATTGTATTATTATTATTATTATTATATTGATGGAATTATTTGTTTTTACATGTGACTAAAATAATTTGAATCAATTTTCTACTATTTTTGTCTTCAATAATTGCAACTTTCAATTTCTTTTTCAGAAGGTCAACTTCAAATATTTTAGAGGATAATAACACTAATTTTTGAAAAATAACAAATTGAAATAAAGAAGCATAGTTACCCTAAATAACAAAATGGTTAATTTAAAATTTTATTTTTCACTGTGGTTGAATTAAGCAAAATAATTACATATACATAGACAATCATTATCTAGGTCCAAAATACCCTCCAAATTCTCATTTCAAAATACTAAATTATCCTTCTTAAATCAAATAATTCATTCACTTAAAAATTGAAAAAAATATTGGTCATATTCAACTATCTACATGCCCCCTTCAAACTCATTGATTCGCGCCAAGTGAGATATGTGAATCATTATTAACTTATTATCTTCTTCTAACTGATTTAATAGACTTTTTCATTTCCTCCAAATCAATCCCTGTGATTTCCCAAACACTCAGAATTAGCGATACAAAAACACCAAATGGTGCAATTATCCAAAAGGGTCTAATTATTGTTTCTTCAAAAGCAAATCCAGATCAACAAAACGAAACAAATAGAACAAACTAAATCACCTTAAATTTGTAGAAAACCATCAACATTGATGGCAAAATCAAGAAACATTTTTAATTGATTAACTAAAGCCAATACCTTTTTTTGTTTTCTCAAAAAGCAATAATAACAACAAAGAAAACCCATAATGGAAAGAAAGAAAGGAACACAATAAAAGCACTTTGAGAGAACAAAAGTGAAGACTAAATGAACATTCTCTGGATCAAATTTATTTTAAATTTCACATTCTATTTACATGTAATGTGTGAACCAAAGAGAGGCCATTGTGTGCTATGAGAGGCTTTGTTTCTCGTTCGAAAATTTAGTGATTTCCCCAAGGATTATACATGGAGATACAGACTTGTACTCCGTTCCATTACATTTCTGTTATTTGCCAAAATTTTTTAATTTTTTTTAAAAAATAAAAATCTGTTTCCCTATATATATATATAAAATCTTAAATTTTTGTAGTAAATGAATTATTTGGGTGTTTGGTAAATGCACGAATTGATTGGGAAGAAATAAATCGATTCAAATCAGTTGATAAGGTGTTAGAATAGATTATAAGAATTCATAGAAAGTGTTAGAATCAAAACGGAAAAGACATGAAAATGATGATGTTTGTTTAGAGCAAGGAATTATTTGATTTAAGATAATAATTTAATAATTTAATAAGAAAACATTTTTAAATTAAAACAATAATTTTCAATAAACATATAATTATTTTACCTAAATCAAGGAAAGTGAAGTATCCATATTCCCACGCATTACTTAACCCAAAAGGACCATTGTACCAAAAGTAACCCGTTCACCTAAAAGCTTTGGCGAAACGAAACCGACTTTTTGAGAGTAGTTTGAGGACAAATGGGTTTTCATGCCAACCGTGACACAAATAAAAATAAAAATAAAAAGGCAGCTTTTGAAGCAGTCGAATTTCTGTGTAATTTCTCTTTCTTGTGAAGTGTGAATCTTCAAATTAAAGAAATACTATCTTTTCTTGGGTGTTTGCTGGAGCTGGATGTTCTCAAGCTGACCTGGTTTGTTTTTAAATATTCATTGCTTCATACACACACACAATCATTGTATAAATGCATATATCTAGATTGGACTCTCTTTAAAAAAATTAATTGGAGTTTGGGCATTACAGTTCATATCTTGTCATCAATCCGCGTTTCTTTTCCGTGTTGATTTCCACTTCCACTTATTTCTTTTAGCAAATTGTGAGTTCTCAATTGCAAACAGATCTACAATTCCATACAGACATTCTTGTTGAAACTTACATTCAATTCTGTGCTGGAATCTTAATAGTTCCAATTAGTGTCTTTTTTGGTAGTTTCATTTAGTTTTTATGTTGTTGTTGTTAATGGGTTTGTGTAAATCTTAGCATTTATGTGTATTTGCTTACAGTGAATGCAGATCGAGTGGGGAAGTTTGGGATTGCTATATAAAGATTATTGCATATTTTGTGTTTGAATCTGGGGTTTGTGTTTGCCGCGAAAAGGTAGGCAGAGGGTCTGAACATTTGTGGGAATGAGTGAATCCCAAGTGGGATTTGTTGGATTTGAATTCTAGTTTTGATGGTCTTGGACGGAGTAAGATAATAAAATGTTGAGATTTTGGAAGTTATTAAGTTAATGGTGTTTTTAGATAAAAGGATTTGAAGTTTTGGTACTATTGAAAGCCTGAGAAGGAGGTGTTGGTCGTTTAGGTATGGGGTCGAGTGAAGAGAGGCATCATTGTCGTCGTGATCACAGCCTTGTGCCTCTAGCTGCATTGATCCGTAGAGAAATGAAAAATGAGAAGATGGAGAAGCCGACTGTGAGATATGGGAATGCAGCTCAGTCTAGGAAAGGGGAGGATTATTTTATGATGAAGACGGATTGCCAGAGAATTCCTGGAAATCCTTCATCAGCATATTCTGTATTTGCGGTACGTAGTCTCAATATTGCTCATCGTCTGTTGAATCCACACTGCAATGAGTTAGGAACATGCATTAGAATTTTCTTTTTATCTCTTGTTCAATTCCCTGTTTTAATTTCTCTGTTTCAATTCCCTATGGACAAATGATTCAACTATGTTGCAAGTTCTGTTAGTAAATTAAATATACGTGCTTCCAAATTCGTTGATTGTTTCAGGCAAAATATTCTTTGCAAAGGGAATACGGGCAAGCATGGCCATGGTCTCTTAATAATTTTCTTTCTTATTTTATCAATTTTTTAGAAATGATTTATTGTTGAATATTGTTTCTAGAGTTTACCATGAATATCTTTTATTCCAGATCATAAGGTGTACCTGTATTCCCTAGTGGTAAATTCTGGTATCGCTTTTATTGTCATATATAATATGGCAGTTGCTTGTTAATTTTCAATTTTCAGATCTTCGATGGACACAATGGGAATGCTGCAGCGATTTTTTCAAGGGATAATTTGTTGAACCATGTCTTGAATGCCATTCCTCATGGGCTTGGGAGGGACGAATGGCTTCAAGCTCTGCCTCGGGCACTGGTTGCTGGATTTGTGAAAACTGACAAGGAGTTCCAGAGTAGAGGCATGAAATTTGGCACTTCTTCCATATTTGCTTTTCTTCCACTGATTTCAATCATATAAATTGCATATTGAGATAATCTAATGCCTTTTTCTCATCTTTATTTATTTTTCCTCTAGGAGTAACTTCAGGAACCACAGTCACATTTGTAATTGTTGATGGATGGACTGTAACAGTTGCATCTGTTGGAGACTCCCGCTGCATTTTAGATACCCAGGATGGTGCTGTCTCTGTTTTGACTGTTGATCACAGACTTGAAGAAAATGTGGAGGAGTAGGTGCTTGTGTTGCAGCCCTTGTCCTTTTTTTCTCTCTCTGGACGGGAAAGGCTAATCTCTTTTTGCTGTTACTGCAGGAGGGAACGTGTAACTGCCAGTGGTGGCGAAGTTGGGAGGCTTAGCATTTGTGGCGGTGCTGAGGTGAGGTGATTAAATTTCTAAAATCTTATGTTCTGATAGTGCATGCAGTAATCTCGTTTTAAAATGCCCAATTTACTTTTCAGGACATTATTCTACATTGTATAATACATATTGCTTCTACTTTACAGATAGGTCCCCTCCGTTGTTGGCCTGGGGGTTTGTGCCTTTCAAGGTCAATTGGAGACATGGATGTTGGAGAATTCATAGTTCCAATACCATATGTCAAACAAGTGAAGGTACCTTCTTTCTTTCCCCACCTTATACAGCCTGATATCAAACTCCAATTAATTTTTTTCTTCTGATGTTTTACAGTGAGGACATTCATTATTTTGCCTCTTTGATTGTGAAGTCCAAGCTTTTAGGATGGATATATCTGGCCCTGTCATTACATAAGCCCTAACATTTTTAATTGATATAACAGCTTTCAAATGCTGGTGGAAGGCTTATAATTGCTTCTGATGGCATCTGGGATGCATTAACCTCCGATATGGCTGCAAAATCATGCCGTGGGTTGCCTGCTGAACTTGCTTCTAGGCAAATAGTGAAGGTTGAACTCATTGAATTGATACGTGTCCTTGCTAGTTCAGTATCCATGAGCCTTCAGAAATAAAAATTGAACAAATATGTTTGCAATATTATGAACTTGACCTACATGCAACGTTATGGGCTTGACTTGTATTAGACTTGTAAATTAATAATATGCATTTATTAACTGAACATTCAAAACTTAATCATTACATTTTGTGGATGTTGTTTAGGAAATATTATGCATTTATTAACTGAACATTCAAAATTTCATCATTGCATTTTGTGGATGTTGTTTAGGAAGCATTGAGGACAAGGGGGCTGAAGGATGACACAACCTGTATAGTTGTTGACATAATTCCTCCTGATAATTCAGCACCACCTTCACCTCCTCCTAAAAAGCAAAACAAGCTCAGAGCTCTATTGTTCAGAAAGAGGTCTCGGGATTCTGCTAGTAAACTATTGAAGAAGCTTTCAGCTGCTGGTATAGTAGAAGAACTATTTGAAGAAGGGTCAGCAATGATTGCTGAAAGGTTAGTAAAATATGTTTTCTGTCTTTAGATTCATATATATGAAATGAGCTGAGAAACTCATAATTACACACTGGCTTCCATTTTGTTTGACATTTAATTTGTTTGTTTTCTGTGGCAAATGACTGGTTGGATATATATCTTATAGTTGGTCTAAGTATGTGACTAAAAGAAGAGCTATATGTATGCAGCCAATAGGAAAGGAAAAGATCTGATTAAGATGGATAAAATGAAAGATGTTGCATCTTGTATTTACTCTTTAATTATGTTATTTACATAATATGAGGTGAATTTAGAAACAAAACCTTAATGATATTACACAATTTAATAAGACATACGTATTCCAACTGACATTACCCTTTAAGTCAGCTTATGCATTGATAATACATTATTTGCAATTTATTTAGGTAAAGAAATTACTATAGAGAATCAGTTTCTTGTTTCTTCCAATTTGACTAACAAGTTCTATGCTTGTTTTGTGCTGTGTTGTATCATCACATCAGAATTAATGATTTGTTATTGACTTTTATGGTAGTTAGGTGGAAAAATATAAGGAAGGATTTTAAACTTTGTTATGTTTTCACTTAGTTCACCATTGAAATGAATGAGTTCCGGGAATTGTAGTAATCCAGAAGCTACCTTACTGGGGTGGGTGGGGGAGGGAGAAAGTCATGCAGAAGCTCAAATCTCAAATTGATTACTTATAAGCCTATTGCTCTAAATATACTTTTATTTTATAGGGGTAACTCTAATATGTTAAATCTTTAGAGAAAAAAGATTGTATTTTACTCTTTCATCTTTTTTATTTTTACTTTTTAATTGATGTATGTTACCTTTTTTCTTATGAAGTAATTTGTTGTGGGCCTGTTTACCGATGCATGATCTCAAATAAGGTCCAGCGACCTCCTTAGAAGTAGAAGGAGGGATTAGCATATAGAATTGCGTAGAATTTTCATGATTTAGTAATTTAACTAGAGTATTTAATCCTACTCCAAAAAATGATGTAGCTAATTAATTCTGTTCTTGGTAATACATGACCAAACATGTTTGTTTGCTCAAAATGTCTACTATTTGTATATATTCTTGATGGCCAGTTGAAGCTCAATTGAACTACAGCTGATCTCGAGCATCCCTTTGGCTGTGATGAGCCGAGTCAGAGCACTCCAAAGCTCTGCTCAGCTCGTTTGCAGCCCTACCCTTTTGGGTATCGATTTCAACTGAGAAACTTTTGGCCAGGTTTTGAAAAAGCTTTTTGAGCACTTGATTGAAATCTTTATAAGAGACAAAAATCAGTTTTGGGAGAAAACCTTAGAGCAATCTTAGATCTCAGATACTCCATTGAAAAATCAAAGAGGTCTTTGATTCCATTCTCTAGTAGTTGAGCTTTCATCACTTGCTTCATATAGTACTCTAGAGAAAGAGAGCTTCATTGTATATCAATCTTTTGAACGATATTTGTAGGGAGTTTCAGTTGTAAAAACTGTCTAACGGCACCATTCTTGAGCTGGAAACTAATATATATCTTGAGATAGATAGAACAGAACTTTGGTGTAACCTTCTTGAAGTCTAGGTGGGTGCTGCTCTTTTATTTTTATTTTTTTCTCTTTTTTCATTAGTAATAATTCATTAAAGGTGCTCAGAAGGTGAGCGCTCCCAAAAGAATACAAAACGACACTATAATTTTAAGCTATCCACAAAATCCAAAAATAGCATCCATAGGTTGGTGCTAGTCGCTTAGCAAGGATTACTCGCGGAGCGTTTGTAAAGGTTCTCCTTCACTTGTGAAGGAAGAGTGTAAAGGTTTCTTTGCCACCCGTGAAGAGAAGCGAGATAGTGATTTGGAAATACTCAAGAGGTGCTCTTGAGGCAGGGACACAGGCAGGTTGGCCGAACCTCGTAAATCATGGTGCTTTTGAGTTTGAATCTCTCCAACCTTAACTATTTTCTAAGCTCTGTATACTGTGTTTTTGTGCATATCACTGTTAATCTTTGTTAGGACAACAAGCACTAAACTGTAATACTCTGTCTGCGCACTAAGCTTTTAACTGTTATGGTTTGTGCAACAAGTATTGAGCCAAATTGAAAAGTTAGCAAGCTTGCCTAAAGACTCAATTCACTCCCTTCTTAGTCGTCGTCGGGGCAGCAAAGGTGATTGCTCTCAATACTTAAATCCATGCCTCGCGTTGTGAGCCTGAATTTTTGCCTAAAGGGCTACATCACTTTTATTATTTTCTCTCTTACTTTTGGTTACAATGATCACCTATTTTTATAGGTGAAAGAGTACAAACATGTGATAAATATGAAAAATATATTGATGGAAAGATTCCTTATATCAATCCCATAAATCACTTCATTCAATAAAATTCACTTCATTCAATAAAATTCACTCCTATGATATTCTCCCAACACCCTCCCAAGTTGGTAGATGGAGATTTTAACTTAAGTGTCCAACTTGAAACTAAATACGAAGTTGTCAAGATCCGAGACGGGTAGATCCGGAGATTCGAGACAGGTTGATCTGGAGATCGGAGACAAGTTTAGAGTAGGGTATGATAAACCTGCTCTAATAGCATGTTGATAAAAATATACAAGACGGAAGAGAGAAATTATGAAGGAAACAACACAAGGATATACATGTTTGAGTCACTATGGCCTACATTCACATCACACAAAGCCCAAAGGGCTACATCACTTTTATTATATTCTCTCAAAATTTAGTTTAGAATGACTATCTCTATTTATAGGTGACAGAATAAAAACATGTGATAAATATATTGATGGAAAGATTCCTTAAATCAATTCCATAAATCACTCCAATCAATATTCTATCATAGGCTAAAATCACTTCTATGATATTCTCCCAACATTACCATTTCACCATATAATAGATAATACTAATATGATAAGGAGAGATGGGGTGAAACCATCCTTAGTTGGTATTTCCTGGAACTGCAATATAGTTTCATTATATCTTTCCCCTGACCCTCCCCTATACCAACTGAAATCTAGTTGATCAGTCCGAGTAACGGTGGGAGAGGTGGGTTACCTGATTTTTGGGTTCATTGCTAAGTCATAGTATAGGTGGTGGACGACATTGAGCTAGAATAAAAAATGTTAATGAGTTGTTCCCTGGAATGCAGTGATGGATGGAGCAATAAACTCTTTCTAATGAAGCAACAAGCCCATCTTATAATTCCCAACTTCGTCATCAGATTTTAGGGTCTTGATGCTACACAAGCTGATGACAACATGTATATCCAATTGGAGTAGGCAGAAGCAAATTAAGTGGTTTCAAGTTCAGCTCACCTATGCCCCGGGAATTATAATGATTTCAGATTGAAGATAAGTGTTCCCCATTGTAATAGACATCCTAATATGTAGGTAATTTCTGACTGGTTAGGGGTAGTATACTTTTGAGAAATTATTGATCTGAAAGTTGATGACCGACAAAGAGCAAATTAATGACAGTGAGATTAAAAAGGATACAGCAACTACTAAATGCTGTTAAAGTTTTGGTAAGCGCAAAGCTGCAATATCGATTGGGACGTGATTTGAGAGAAGCTATGAGAAGTGTTATGATAAACGCAGCGAACCCAAGATAGAACCAAGAATTATGATAGAAAAGTAAACACACCATACAATGAACATAAAGATTTATACGTGGTTCGGCGACAGCCTACGTCTACGGTGGAGATCAAACAAAAGTCTGCACTATGTGTAAATTGGAGATTACAAGTTTTTAGCGCTCATTCTGTTTCTGTACGAATTTCAGAGTCTCTCTTACACCACTCCAAACCCTAAGCGTCCTTATATATCGGGTTACAAGATACTAATTAGGGTCCACGACTCATGAGCAAAAACGGGTCAAAAATCCAAAGGGTCGTACGGAGGTCGCAACCGGGCACCAAATTTGGGTTACAACATCACAAGAAGCTTTTCTACCATCCAGTAACATACAGACCTTCTTAGAAATTCTAAAATCCTTTTCAAGAGGATAGATTAGTGCAGTGCACACAAATAGTTTTGTTGTCTTTTAATTAGGAATTCCTTGATAATAACATAGTAATAGATGGTTGTTTATTGCATCAATTATTTTGTGTAGGCAGTTCATGGTTAATTTCCCTTGCATACTTATTCCTCAATTAGAAGATGCATGTCACCTTTTGTTTAAGGCTCGTGAGAAGTTTAGTCTTCATAATCGACCGACACTAGAAACCATCAAAAACTGCTAAAATGTGTTATGTTCCGTGCTTCAAGAGTGGTAGAGGTGGCATATCAAGCTGTTAGTATTGGAAAATGGTTCTATGCGGAAGTTTTAAAATCGTGTCCCATTAGATGTAGTAAATTCATGATCTTAGAGAGAAGAATGAAATTCAGTACCTTAAGGAAACTTGTAGATTGCCAAAAGACGTGAATTGCTTGATCGCTTTAAGCTCTTCCTTCCTAAACACAAATAGGAGCAGTGTGGAAAATTCAGTTCTATAAATAAGGAAACTGTGTGTGTATAGCTATAATTAGCTAAGGAAACCATGTGTGTATAGCTGTAATTAGCTAGGAGATCTTGTAATATTTTAGTCATTGTAATCCCTGATTGTAGGGAATTAGTATCTCTAGGATTAGACAGCCCTGATTCTAGGGAATTAGTATCTCTAGGATTAGACAGTTTCCTAGTTTTAGAGTTTCCTAATTTAGATCCTTTGAAGTGTATACTAGGAAGCATGGACACTCCAAAATGGGCGAAGAATCCGTGTCCGACACGGACACGCCCCGACACGTGTCGGACACGCCAAAAAACGTGTCTGGAATTTTTTTATTTTTTTTAATTTTCAGACACGGCACGGACACGGCTCGGACACACTTTTCTGGAAATTTTTTTTTTTTTTTTTTTTTTTAATTTTTAATGCTGATATGTTAAATTTTTTTTTTTTAATTTTTAATGCTGATATGTTCTATTTTTTGTTTTGTACTACCCTAAAGATGCTGATATATATATATACTAACCT